ATGATGGATCACACACCGGGAATGATGGATCACACACCGGGAATGACCATGGATCACACACCGGGAATGAGCACGGATCACACACCGGGAATGACGGATCACACACCCACGGGAAGGGATCACCCGGAAGCAATCACACACCAACGGGAATGACCATGGATCACCGACCGGGAATAACGGATCACCGGGAATAACCGACAGAATGACAGCGGGAATGGGAACAACTGGAACAACGGGAAGGGGAACAACAGGAGTAACAGCGGGAACGGGAACAATGGGAATGGGAACAATGGGAACGGGAACAACGGGAGTGGGAATAACGGGAATGACGGCGGGAATGGGAACAACGGGGAATGGGAATAATGGGAATGGGAACAGGAATAATGGGAACAATGGGAGTGACAGTGGGAAAACAACCGGGAACAACGGGAAAGAGCCGGAACAGCCACGGGAACGACACCGGGAACGAGCTGGAATGGGGATGGGAATTCTGGGAATGCCGGAGACAGGAATTGAGGGAAAGGCTTGGGAATTTGGGATCCAGGGAAGGGCTCGGCCTTCCAGGATTCCTCGGGATGCCATCAGGAAAGGGAACCGGGAATTTGGGAAGGGATTTTGGGAATTTCCCCCTCTCCCGGGAGGCCGGGAAGGGCCTGGAACGATCCCCAAAAAAACGGGAACGATCCCAAAGCTCCCAGAATTCCCGACCCCCTCCCGCAATTCCCAGGGAATTCCCGCCGGGAAGCTCACAATGATCATCTGATCCCGGGAATGCCGCGAGGATTCCTTGGATCTCCTGGGAGCTTTTCCGGAGGGGCTGAGGGGAGCCGGGAGCTCCTGCAGGGGCCTGGGGAAAAATGGGAAAAACCGGGAATGACTGGGGAAAAACTGGGAAAAAAAATGGGAAAACCCAGGGGGAAACACCAGGAAAATCCTGGGAAGAGGGAGAAGCAGAAAAAAAATCTGGGAAAGAGGGGGGAAAACCTGGGGAAAAGTGGGAAAAAACTGGGAAAAGCTGGGAAAAAAAAAAGGGAAAAAATGGGGAAAATCAGGAAAAAAGAGAAAACCTGGGAGAAGCCGGAAAAGAAAGGGGAAAAGTGGGAATAGCAGGGAAAATCTGGAAAGAATTGGGGAAAGTTGGGAAAAAATGGGAAAAAACCTGGGGGAAAAAAATGGGAGAAACTGGGAAAAAACTGGGAAAAATTGGGAGAGGCAGCAGAGAATTGGAAAAGGGAAAAACAGCAGGAAAATTGGGAAAAAGCTGGGAAAACGGGAAAAGCAGGAGGAAAAGTGGGAAAAAAGGGGATAAAAACTGGGAAATTCGGGAAAAACTGGGAATGCAGGCAGGGATTGAGCAGGGAAGGGAGAGAGGATTTCTGGGACAGAGAATTCCCAGGAAATCCGGAGGGAAAAACCCGGGAATTCCAAGGGCTGGAAGCAGCGGAATTCCGGGATTTGGGAATTCCCGGGATTCCCGGGCTTTCCCCCCTCTGGAAAAGCGGGAATGGGATCTCTCTCACCTCTTCCGGGCGGGAAGGAAGATGGGGAAGAGCCCGGCCGGGCACGGAGAGCCTGGGAAAAAACCGGGAATTCCTCAGGAAAAGCGGGAAGGCGCGATTCCAGCCCCGGCATCCCGGGAATCCCGGCCGGAATCCCGGGAATCCGGCGCTGCTTTGGCTGGGGGAACCTGGGGAAGAATTCCCGAGGTTTTCCCAACTCACCCGGTTCCTTCCTGGGGCCGGGGGAATCCCGGGAATCCGGGCTGGGAGAGGGAGGAATTCCAGGGGCTTCCTGCGGAGGGAAATTCCAGGGGTTTTTTCCACGGATTTCCCAGGAATTCCGGGCCTGCTCCAGCCCGGGAAGCGCCCGAGGGAACGTCCCGGGATTTGGGAATGTCGGGAACGGGATGGGAAATCCACGGATCCCGCCCAGAACATCCCGGAATTCCCCCGATCCCGGGAATTCCCGGTGCCTTTTCCAATGAAAAAAGGGGATCCGGGGGAGCCGGAACTGGGAGCGGGAAGGAATTCCAGGCACAATTCCCAAGGAAAATCCTGGAATTTGGGCGCCTTTGGCTCCAGCAGATCCCAAATTTCCTGGGCTGGGACGCAGAAAAATCGGGAAAACCTGGAATTGGCTCCAGGAAAACGGGAAAACCCTTGGAAAATTCGGATTGGGGAATTCCAGGAGATTTTTCGGGGTTGGTTTTTGTTTTTTTCCCAGGATTTGGCTCCCGGATCCCACAAAACTCAGCGGGAATTCGGTGCCTTGATCTCGGCTGGGGGAAAAGAGCGGGGAAAAAAGGAGCTGGAATTCCGATCCCGGCTTTTCCCAGGAAAATCAGGAGCCCTTGGAAAACTATCCCAAAGGAAAGGGAAATCCCCCCAAAATTCCCAAGGAATCCCCCAGGAATCCCAAGGGAAAATCCCAAGGGAATCCCCCCCAAAAATCCCAAAGGAATTCCCAAGAAAATCCCAAAGGAATTCCCAAGAAAATCCCAAAGGAATTCCCGAGGAATCCCCTTGGAATTCCAAAGGAAAATCCCAAAGGAGACCCCCCCCCAAGAATTCCCAAGGAATTCCCAAAGATTCCCCCAGAAAGCCCAAAGGAAAATCCCAAGGGAATCCCCAAAGGAACCTCACCGGAACTCCCAAGAAAATTCCCAAGGAAATTCCCGCTCTGGGTCCCTCCGAGCCCTTCCCGAGGGTGAAATCCGGGAATTCCCTGGAATTCTCCCCATCCCTGCTCTCACCTCCTTCCCCTCGGAATTCCGGGCGCCGTTCCCGGCCGTTCCCGCCTCTCCGGAGCATTCCCGGTTTTCCTTCTCCTCTTCCTGAGCTTCCGGAATCCTTCCCGCGCTTTCCTCTCCCGCTTTTTCCGCCTTTCCCGCTTTTTCCGGCCCAGGCCGAGCCTTTTCCGAAGGATCCCTGGAGGCGGCTCCGGAGTCTCCCGGGCTTTTCCCGGAAGAATTCCCGGGGTTTTTCCGGGGTCTCTTCCCGCTCAGGAAGAAGGCGGAGCCCAGCGGGAGCCGCAGCGGCGGCCGCACGCCCGCGCTCAGCACCCGGAATCGCTCGGAATTCCGGGAATTCTGGGAAATCCGGGAATTCTGGGAACTCCCAGCCTCGGAACTCCGGGAATTCCCGGCGTTCCCGCTGCTTTTCCCTTTGGGAATCTCCCGTCGGGCCTTGGGATTGGCTTTGCTTTTGGAGCTGCGATTCCCGCTGGAATTCCTGCCAGGATTCCCATGGGAATAATCGGGATTCCTGCCGGGATTCCTGCCGGGATTCCCGGGTTTTTCCGGGCCGTTGCCGTCTCCCAGCAGCTCCCGGAGCCGTTTCCTCTCCAGAGGATCCAGGTAAATCCTTTTCCCATAAAAAGCCCCCACGGGAAGTTGGGAATTGTGGGAAGAGGCGGAGCCGGGCTGGGAATTCCCGGGAACTCCCGGATTTCCCGCCGGGATGTCCAATCTCAGGGAACGCGCCGATTTCCCGGGAAAGGCTTCCTCCTCCTCCTCCTCCCGGTTTTCCTGGCGGGAATTCCGGGCCGGGGGTTCGGGAAGGGCTCGGAGCCGTTTGCGCTCCGGGGTCCGGAATTCCCAGCAGGAGGAGCTGGAAAAAAAAACCGGGAATGAGATCCCGGGAATTCCCCAAGGGATTTTCCCAAGGGATTTTGGGGATTCCGAGGAGTCCCCAATCCCGGGAAAAGCCCTGAATTCCCGGATTTTGGGGATCCCATCCCAGAATTCCGGGATCCCGGAATTCCGGGATCTCTCTCTGGGAGAGCTGGAATCCGGGAGTATTCCCAGGAATCTGGGGAGGAATTCCCAGAGAATCCCTGGAATGTCCCGGTGGGGGGTGGGGCTGGGATCCCCCAGGCCGGAATTCCCGGATTTTGGGGATTTTTGGGATCTCACCCGTTGGGATCCTGGCTCCGTTTCCGGGGCGTTCCCGCGGCTCCGCAGCTCCTGCAATTCCAGGGGTTTTTCCAGGTGGGAATTGGGACGGAATTCCAGGGGAAAAGCCCGGGAGGAGCAGAGAAAAGGGAGGGAATGGGGAAGGGGAAAACCGGGAATAAAACCCCGGGAATGCCGGGATGGAGATCCCAGGGATCGGCTCTGCCAAACTCCCGCCCTTCCCGCGAGAATTCCAGCTGCAATCCCAGGAATCCCAGCCATTCCCAGAAATCCCAGTAATTCCCAAAAATTCCCATAAATTCCAGTAATTCCCAAAAATTCCCAGTAATCCCAGTTCCCAGGAATTCCACTCATTCCCACAAATCCCAAGAATTCCCAGGAATCCAAAGAATTCCCAAAAATTCCCAGCAATCTCAACAATACCCAGTCATTCCCAGAAATCCCAATAATTCCATTCCATCCCAGAAATCCCAGAAATCCCATAAATCCCCCCCTCCATCCCAGGATTTTCCCAGCCCTGGGAATTATTCCTGATCCCAAAAATTCCCAAATCCCGGGCACAAAGCCCCTCCCCCCCCCAGCCGGGAGCGGCTCCCTCGGGAATTCCAGCCGCGGCTCCGGGGGGGAATCCCAAATCCTTCCAGGCTTCCCAACTTTTTTGGGAATCCCTGGTGGGGCTCCCAAATTCTTGGGGTTTCTGTGGGTTCCTCAAATCCTTTGGGATTTTTTTCCCAGGATTTTCAAACCTTTGGGATCTCTGCTGGCCCAGAACCTTTCGGGGTTTGTTTTTTATTCCATGGCTGCCCCAAATCTTTGGGATTGGGTTCCGTGGGATGCCCAAATCCTTTGGGAATGGGATTCCATGGGAAGGAATTCCCCTGGGGTTCCCAAACCCTTCCGGATGGAATTCCTGGGTCATTCCCAAACTTTTCGAGAGGGAATTTTGTGGGGTTCCTGAATCTTTCAGGATGGAATTCTGAGGGATCCCTCTGATTTTTGGCATGGATTTCCCATGGGTTTTCCAAACCTTTTGGGATGGAATTCTGAGGGATCCCTCTGATTTTTGGGATGGAATTCCCGTGGGGTCCGTGGATGGTTCCCAACCCCTCCCATCCCCTCAGGGCTTCACCGCAGCCACCCCAAAACCCCCAAAATCCGCTCAGAGGCCCCAAAGAGCTCCCGGAGCCCGAGGAGCTCCCCCAAAGTCCTCGGAGCTCCCCTGGAGCCCCCCCAGAGACCTCGGAGCTCCCCTGGAGCTCCCTCAGAGACCTCGGAGCTCCCAGGGAGCCCCTCCAAAGTCCTCGGAGCTCCCCCAGGGACCTCTTGGAGCCCTGCCATGGTCCTCGGAGCTCCCCCAGAGTCTCCCCAAATCCCCACTCAGAGCCCACGGAGCCCCCTCAGAGTTCCCCCAGAGACCTCGGAGCCCTCAGAGCATGCTCAGGACATCCCCAAATCCCCACTCAGAGCCCTCAGAGCCGACTCGGAGCTCCCTCAGTGCCTCCCCGAATCCCCACTCAGAGCCCTCAGAGCTCACTCGGAGCTCCCCCAGAACCCGGCAGAATTCCCGCGGAGCCTCCGCACATCCCCACTCAGACCCCGTGAAGCTCCCTCAGAGCATCCCCCAAATCCCCACTCAGAGCCCCCGGAGCCCCCTCAGAAGCCTCGGAGCTCCCCCAGGGACCTCTCGGAGCTCCCCCAGGGACCTCCCCAAATCCCCACCCAGAACCAGCGGAGCTCCCCCGGAGTTTCCCCCAGAGCCCCCTCAGAGACCTCGGAGCCTCCCCAAATCCCCACTCAGAGTCCCCTTGGAGCCCGCAGAGCCCCTCGGAGCTCCCTCAGAGCCTCTCCAATTCCCCACCCAGAACCAGCGGAGCTCCCTCAGAACCCTCGGAGCTCCCTCAGAGCCTCCCCAAATCCCCACTCAGAGCTCGTGGAGCTCCCTCAGAGCCCACTCGGAGCCTCACCAGACCCCTCACTCAGAGCCCCCTCAAATCCCCACTCGGAGCCGCCTCGGAGCTCACTCGGAGCCTCCCCAAGCCCCCACTCAGAGCTCCCTCAGAGTCGCCTCCATAAATCCCCCCTCAGAGCCCTCTCGGAGCCTCCCCAAATCCCCCCTCAGAGCGGCTCCCTCACCTCAGCGCCGCCTCCGCCATGGTCGCTTCCCGCCTTCAGCCGCGCGCCTTCGAACCGCCCGCCCTGCGCCTTTATTGGCTGGGAGCAGAGTCAATCACCGATACTCACCTGCCATTGGTCGAACAGCGCGCGGCTCCGCGTTAGACCCGCCCCTCCGGCTTGGCAGCCAATCAGAGAGCGCGGCTCGCCGAGCGGGCCCGCGATTAGACTGCAACTCCCATCGTTCCCTGCGAGAGCAGAGCGGCGCTTCCGCGCCGTGGGGCGCGCGGGGGCTGATGGGAGTTGTAGTCTCAGAGCCGCCCGTCCCGCGCGCGGGAGATTCTGAGGGGAAAGGTGGGAATTGGAGGAGCTGGGAGTTAACGGGCGGTTAATGAGGCGCTAATTAAGGATTTTGGTGTTAATTAGGGCATCGGCAAGCTGCAGTGGGCTGGGATCCCTTCCACTATCCCCGTCCAGCCTGGCCTTGGGCACTGCCGGGGATCCGGTCGGGGAAAGGAAAGAGAAGCGAAACGGGGATGGGAAAAGAGGGAAAGGAACAAAAATGGGGGATGAGGGAAGAGAAAAGGAAAGAGGAAAAGGGAAATGGAAAAATAAGGAAAAGGGGTGAAAGGAAAGGGGCCGAAAAAGGAGGAAAGGGGAAAGAGAAATAAAAAACAGGGAAGAGAAAAGGGGAAAGGGAGGGAGGAAAAGGAAAGGGAAAAGGGGAGACAGTTGTAATATGTGCATTTTTTATATAATTCGCGTGTATAATGCAGAAAGATAACTCGAGCACAAGGCATAAAACTGGAGCAATGAAAAGATCGCCCGAACAAGGACAGAGAGCTCAGGAATGTTCACAAAAGGACAAAGGAAGGTGCCAGGAGAGAGGAGAATCCCCTCAGGTGAGACGAGCCACAAATGATTCTGTGAAAAACGAGGTTCACATAATCCTTATAGAATTTAAAAGTTTAATGAAAAAACAATTAGGAGAAAAAAATAAAGTATACAGATCTGGCCGGGTGTCTCTGCATTCAGCTAAGAGAGCACACCTCACTAACAAAGGATTGTGTCTTAAAAACAGAATCCTACTACATATCCATAAATTCTCACGCATATTCATACATTCTTCTCAGGATCTTTGGTGTTCTTCTCTTTAGTTTTCTCTTGCCCCCTTCCCAATAGATCAATCTTCTTGGCGCCATCGAGATTTACATTCCCTGATACCAGAAATGCAATAAATTCTGAACACAAAAGAGTTCTGGTCACTGCTGGCTTCGCCTGGATAAGAGAGTTTATAAAAGAAAAAAAGATTTCCAGCTATCTTTTTCAGTCTTTGGGTTACACAGACAAAAGTAGTTTTTATTTTAATGCTATGTCATAGCCTAAGATATACGTAATATACCACAATATTCACAACAGCTGAATTCTGAATATAACAACACATCACGGAGAAAAAACCTGAGACTGCACGGCCTCAGGGCGAAACGAGTGTATAAAACTCGGCATTTCAATAAAAAGTTTGGAAATTTGAGGGAATCGAGGTTTGGAAACTGAGGCAGAGACCGGGTCAGGGTTCACCCAGCGCCGATCCCGGGCTCGGCGTTGCCTTTAATTGTAGCTGTCCCCAAATTTATTTTCGCAGGTTTAGCAATAAAAATTGTTATTTATGAAATTGGATTGATTTATTTATAGCGCAGGGAAGGAAAAAAGGGGAAAAAAGGAAAAAGCGGGACAAATCCTCGCCGCACTGCGCATGCGCAGCTCCGGCTGCCGTACATGGCAGCCACGCGCATGCGCAGTTACGCGCGCCGTACGGCATCATGGCGGCCCGCACAGGCGCAGTGCCTCTTGCCGTACAACATAGCCGCCCTGCGCATGCGCAGTTCTATTTACCGTGCATCATGGCGGCCCTAACGCACGCAGTTTTAATTGCCGTACATCATGGCGGTCGCGCGCATGCGCAGTTCCTTCCAACGGCTGCTCTCCCTCTGCTCCGCGCATGTGTATTGTCCGTGACGTCATCACGCAGCGCCCCGCGCGTGCGCAGTGCCGGGCCAGGCCTGAGGAGGCGGCGAAGCCCCGGGACGGGCCCGGGAGCAGCGGGAAAAACGGGAAAAAAAACGGGAAAAAAGCGGGGAAAAAAGCGGGAAAAGCGGGATAATCGGGATCAGCACAGCGCCCACCCCACCGCAGTTATGGTGTTTTACTTCACCTCCAACGGTGAGAGCGCCGCGGGATTCCCTGGAGCCGGGAGCGGATCCTGAGGGGAAAACTCGGGAATTCCCCGATCCCGGGGATTCTCTGGGAATTCCTTCCCAAGGTTCCGTCCCTTCCCTTTCCCCGAATTCCCGCTGTCCCGGGAGAGCCTCTGGAAAAGGCTCCCAGCCCTTGGAATAGCCCAAATTCCCGGGATTTCTCCTTCTCCTGGATTTTTTTTTTCCCCTCGGGAATTTCCCCACCCGCGGGAATTTCTTTTCCCGGTTTTTTTTTTTCCTCCTCTTTAAACGGCGGAGTCGGAATTCCCGAGGGAGGAGAATTCCCGTGGATCCCGGACAAACCAAACCCTGGGAATTCCCGATGGGAATTTTCCTTTTCCAGGGGGGGGCGCTGCGGGAATTCCCGGGAATCACCGGGAGCGGAAAAACCGGGAATAACTCCCCAAAAACTTGGGAATTTCCCTTTCCATTCTGAGTTCCGGATTTTCCAGGGGTTTTCCCCGGATTTTCCCATATTTTACCCGAATTTGTCCCGGAATTTCCTGGATTTTTCCCAGATTTTCCCGGATTTTTCCTGGATTATTCCCAGATTTTTCCCGGAATTTTCCCAGATTTTTCCTGGATTTTTCCCGGAATTTTCCCAGATTTTTCACGGATTTTTCCCAGATTTTTCCTGGATTTTCCACGAATTTTCCCCGAATTTTTCCCGGATTTCCCCAGAATTTTCCCAGACTTTTTCTCAGATTTTTGCCAGATTTTTCCCAGATTTTCCTGGATTTTTCCCCGGATTTTTCCCGGAATTTTCCCAGATTTTTCCTGGATTTTTCCCAGATTTTTCCCGGATTTTTCCTGGAATTTTCCCCAGATTTTTCCTGGAGTTTTCCCGGATTTTCCCCAGATTTTTCCCAGGTTTTTCCCGGATTTTTCCCAGAATTTTCCCAGAATTTTCCCAGATTTTCCCTCCCAATCCAGGAATGTTTGAAATTCCCGCCAATTCCCATTTTCCCACCAAGAATTTTTGGGATTTTGCGCTGCCGGATTCCCGGGATTCGCGCTGCGGATCGGGAAAAGCTCGGGGGATTTTTTGGGAATTTCGGGAATTCCAGCCGGGAATGTTGAAACCCCTCCCCCAAAAAAAAAACCGGGAAAAAAAATTCCTTCGTCCCTCCCAGGAGGGAAAAGCGGGAATTTCCCGGGAATTCCAGGAATTCCATGGATTCTGACCCCGCCATTCCCGGTTTTCCAGCCGCTCCCGCCGCCTACACCATCTACATGGGCAAGGACAAGTACGAGAGTGAGTGCCGGGAATTCCGGGAATTTTGGGAATTCTGGGAATTTTGGGGGCCTGGAATTCCAGGATTTCCTTGGGAATATCCCACATTTCCCTCCCCACCCCCCCTTGCCGCGTTTTTTTGGGATTCCTTTGGACGTTCCCGGGTTTGGGGGAGTGAGAAATTCCCTTTTCCCGGGCAGAATTCCCGGATTTCCGGCCCCTTTGGGGAATTTTGGGAATCTTTTCCGGCTCTTTCCAGAGCGGTGCCCAGGGATTGGATCCGGCTGGGAATTTCGGGATTTGGGATTTGGGAATTCCCAGGATTTGGGATTTGGGGCAGGAATTCCGGGATTTGGGATTCATGGATTCCCGGGATTTGGGGCGGGAATTCTGGGATTTGGGATTCGGAAATTCCCGGGATTTGGGATTTGGGGCAGGAATTCCCAGGATTTGAGGTTGGGGGTGGGAATTTGGGATGGGAATTCCTGGGATTTGCCAGGGCTGGGATTGGATTTGGGACAGGAATTCTGGGATTTGGGGTTGGGAATTCCGGGATTTAGAGCTGGAATTCCAGGGATTTGGGGATGGGAATTCTGGGATTTGGGGTTGGGTTGGAAATCCTGGGATTTGGGGATGGGAATCCCGGGATTTGGGGTTGGGGGTGGGAATTGGGGCTTGGAATCCCTGGATTTGGGAATTGGAGATGGAAATCCCGGGATTGGGGATTTGGGAATTTTGGGATTGGGGAATGCTGGGGGCGGGGATTTTGGGCTTTGGGAATTTTGGGAACTCTGGGATTTGGGGATTTGGAGTTTGGGAATTCTGGGCTTTGGGAATTTTGGGAATTTGGGGCGTTGCCGACGGCGCTGCCGTTCCGCAGACGAGGACCTGATCAAGTACGGCTGGCCCGAGGACGTCTGGTGCGTGCTGGGATCCCGAGATTCCCGGGAAAAGCGGGAATGTGGGAATGTGGGATCCTCCCCCTCCCATCCCCTCCCCCCTCGCGCCCTTCCCTGCCCCCGAGGATTCCGGAATTTGGGAGTGCCTTTGGGCTGGAGCTGGGAATTCCTGAGCTCGGCTCTTCCCAAATCCCAAATCCCATCCTGAATCCCAAATCCAATCCCAAATCCTATCCTGAATCCCAAATCCCATTTCAAATCCCAAATCCCAAATCCAGTCCCCAACCCCATCCTGAATCCCAAATCCCCAATCTCAAATCCCGAATCCCATCCCAAATCCCAAATCCAATCCCAAATCCCAAATCCCATCCCAAATCCCAAATCCCATCCCAAATCCCATATCCAATCCCAAATCCAATCCCAAATCCCAAATCCAATCCCAAATCCCAAATCCAATCCCAAATCCCAAATCCAATCCCAAATCCAATCCCAAATCCCAAATCCCAAATCCAATCCCAAATCCAATCCCAAATCCCAAATCCCAAATCCAATCCCAAATCCCATCCGAAATTCAATCCCAAATCCCAAATCCCATCCTGAATCCCAAATCCCATTTCAAATCCCCAATCCCAAATCCAATCCCATCCCGAATCCCGAATCCCATCCCAAACACCAAATCCAATCCCAAATCCAATCCCAAATCCCAAATCCCAAATCCCATCCCCAGGCCCTTCCCTTCCCCCACCTTCTTCTCATTTTCCCACATTTTTCCCATTTTACGACGTTTTTCCCTCTTTTTTCCCCGTTTTTCTCAGATTTTTCCTAATTTCCCCCATTTTTTCCTCATTTTTCCCATTTTTTCCCCCTTTCTCCCATTTCCCCATTTTTTTCCCATTTTTCCCCATTTTCTCCCACATTCCCCCCATTTTTTCTCCCGTTTTCCCCATTTTTTCCCAATTTTCCCATTTTTCCTGCTTTATTCCCACTTTTTTCCCACTTCCCCGTCTTTCCTTCCCATTTTTCATTTTTTTTGCTTTTCCTGCATTTTTCCCTTTTTTCCCCCATTTTCTTTCCCATTTTCCTTACGTTTTCCCCATTTGTCCCCATTTTTCCCCATTGTCCCCATTTTTTTCCCATTTTTCCCTTTTTCCTTATTTTTCCCACTTTTCCCCATTTTTCCCATTTTTTCCCCATTTTTATTCCCATTTTTTCCCCAATTTTTCCCCATTTTTATTCCCATTTTTATTCCCATTTTTATTCCCATTTTTATTCCCATTTTTATTCCCATTTTTCCCCTTTTTCCCCATTTTTTCCCATTTTTCCCCATTTTTCCCCATTTTTTCCTCATTTTCCCTCCATTTTTTCCCCCATTTTTTCCCCATTTTTTTCCCATTCTTCCCCATTTTTTCCGTTTTTTTTCCCAAAATTTTCCTCATTTCCCCCATCTTTTTCCCCATTTTTATTCCCTTTTTCCCCATTTTTATTCCCATTTTTTCCCCAATTTTTCCCCATTTTTATTCCCATTTTTCCCCATTTTTTTCCCATTTTTTCCCAATTTTTCCCCATTTTTTCCTCATTTTCCCTCCATTTTCCCCCCATTTTTTCCCATTCTTCCCCATTTTTTCCCTGTTTTTTTCCCAATTTTTCCTCATTTTCCCCCCATCTTTTTCCCCATTTTTCCCCATTTTTTTCCCAATTTTTCCCCATTTTTATTCCCATTTTTCCCCATTTTTTCCTCATTTTCCCTCCATTTTTTTCCCCATTTTTTCCCATTCTTCCCCATTTTTTCCCCGTTTTTTTCCCAATTTTTCCTCATTTTTCCCCCATCTTTTTCCCCATTTTTATTCCCTTTTTCCCCATTTTTATTCCCATTTTTCCCCATTTTTCCCCATTTTTATTCCCTTTTCCCCCATTTTTATTCCCATTTTTCCCCATTTTTTCCCATTTTTATTCCTATTTTTTCCCCATTTTTCCCCATTTTTATTCCCATTTTTTCCCAATTTTTCCCCATTTTTATTCCCATTTTTCCCCATTTTTTTCCCATTTTTTCACCATTTTTCCCCATTTTTTCCTCATTTTCCCTCCATTTTTTTTTCCCATTTTTTCCCATTCTTCCCCATTTTTTCCCCATTTTTATTCCCATTTTTCCCCATTTTTTCCCCATTTTTCCCCCTTTTTCCCCATTTTTCCCCTCCGCATTCCCAGGAATTCTCCTCCCATCCCCCAGCCCCGGGATTGGCGATTCCCAGGAAATCCCTGGGAATGGGTTTTGGGAATCGGGAATTTGGGACCAGGGTGGGGGTGGGGATCCCCCGGAATTCCCTGGAATTCCCTGGAATTCCCTGGAATTCCCTGGAATTCCCGGCATTCCGCAGGTTCCACGTGGACAAGCTCTCCTCAGCCCACGTCTACCTGCGCCTGCACAAGGTGAGTCCCGGGAAAAACCTGGAAAAAATGGGAAAAACCTCGGGAAAAGTGGGAGAAACCTCGGGAAAAGTGGGAGAAACCTCGGGAAAAGTGGGAGAAACCT